TCTCAGAAAACATTTCTTGATCTTCCTTTCACTATGGTTGTTAAAACTAGGTACTTGAGCGGACAGCCTACACATGGAATCTTTGCTAATGAGACGATAACATTTGCCCAGACAAACGGCGAAGAGGCTAAAATCCACAACATACTAGTTGGATGCAGCTCCCCTTCCGATTTTGAAAAATTCCAGGGTGTTGATGGTCTTATGGGCCTTGGATACAACAACTATTCCTTGACACTCAAAGCAGCTAATAAATTCGGAGGCAAGTTTTCGTACTGTCTAGTCAATCGTTTCAGCACCCAAAACGTGTCAAGCTATCTCATTTTCGGTTCCCACGAAAGCATAGAATCTATTAAAACACACGACAGAATGCAACAGACGGAACTCGTCCTAGGTATCAGTTCATACTATGGTGTAAACATAAAGGGAATTTCTGTAGGCAAAAAAATGCTCAAATTCCCAGATGAAGTGTGGGATGTGAAGAGTGGTGGAGGGATGATACTCGATTCCGGTACAACCGCAACTTTATTGACAGAACATGCTTATGAACCTGTAATGGCAGCCCTAACGCCATCATTAAAGAATTTTGCAAGATCAAATCTCACTATTGGACAGTTCGATTTCTGCTTTGATGCAAAGGGATATAATGAATCTTTGGTGCCAAGATTGGTGTTTCATTTTGCAGATGGAGCACAGTTTGAACCCCCAGTAGAAAATTATGTGCTTGATGTGGGTGACGGGGTAAGGTGCCTGGGGTTTGTTCAAATACCTTGGCCTGATCAATCTATTATTGGCAACATCATGCAACAAAATCACTTGTGGGAATTTGACCTTGCAAATAGCAGACTGAGTTTTGGTAGCTCCTCTTGCACCTAGATTTATTTAGCCAAAATTGTGTTCAAAGGAACCAATCACTTGGCATTGCAATTTACATTCCCTTCTTTTACTAGTCATGATTTGTTGAGAATGTTTGGTATGAAATAAAGAATTTTAATTTCATTTTCTTATTCAATATATTCACTGCTACACAATACAATATACTCACATGGTTTAAAGCACTTCAAGCAATTCAATGAATTCATCAGGGAAAATGATAAGAAAAACTAGAGATTTCAAATTCCTCCAAACTTCCCTTGTGTTAAGATAGATATAACCACGAAGTGTCATCTATTGTTTAAAAGGACCTTGACCACCGGAGCCGAATCATGCTCCATGCAAGGACTCG